GTGCTACAAACCTGAAACCAAAACAAAGCAGGAATGTCTGAAGACAGTTTTCTGCAGGGGACAGCTTTTCACAAAGCCAAAGACTTGCCTCATCAATTTGAGCAGCATTTTTCATTCATTAAGTTGCAAGGGATTTTGAAGAACTAAAATAACATACAACATGAAAACCCTCTAAAGGCCTGACCTGAGATAGAATTATTTTACCAAAGGCTGTGCATCAAATGGTATCATTTTTACAAGCTCTGCTATAAAAACTCATCATCAGATCACATCTTTGCAGTTGGTAAAGATCCTTTTTTTGACCCTTAAAAATAATAATAACCCTTGTTAAACTATTTATAAAAATAATACTTTGCCATTGATTTTCTTTGCAGTCAGGCCTTTTGCATTAAATCTCCCATTCTGAGAATCTAGTACAGCCTTGCTCTCTCTGGAGCACAAGTCTGCTTTTATATTTTCTTTTGGCAATATACTTTTATCAGGATTCCCCACAAAAGCCAGCCCTGCTCAGCTACACTGACCTACTGACATCACTCCTGCTCTGGTGTTCCAACTGCATCAGGTTTACAGGACTCACCATCAACCTAAAGCCATGTTGCATAAACCCAGATCACAGATCCAACTTGTTCATGGCTCTGGGTAGAGAGGGAGGACACACTGGTGCCTCCTCCAGTCATCAGCAAGATGAGCTGCCATTAAAATGGAGCAAAAAGCCTGTGTTCCTAAACTGCTAAAGCAGTCCCTGCTAAAGCCTCACACAGCAGATCTCAATGGCACAATTTGAGGAACGCCATACAATTTCTAATAACCTCTTTTATTTCTAAAATATCTTCCAAGAAGAGCCCTGAGGTCCTTCTGCCAACTAGAACTAAGTGTAAAACTAATACACACAGGGAACCCCAGGTAGGGCTGGCACAGGTTCAGGTGTGGCCTCCTTGGGATGTGCTCACTGTTCCCTTTCCAGCCGGATCAGCAGGAAACAGGGATTTTTGTCTAATTGTTTTTCACTTGATAATTGCATGTCTCAGGAGAGCTTCTCCAACATGGTGGCAGAGAACTTCAGGGCCAGAGCTAGTGGATGGGAAAGGAAGCACAATACCAATATACAGACAGTCAGACTGGCAAGAAGTAAAACAGAATTAAGAGATAAGTATGGTTAAGAATTGTACAGAAACCTCAATATGGCCTTGGGAATTTCCTTGGGTCTGTGGGGGAAAACTCTTTGCTCTCTCATTCTTTCCATAAAAGCACTGAACTAGACACCCATTCAGAATTCACTCTACACCCTGCACAGTGAGTTCAAACTGTTACAGGAATTTTGGGTAGCTACTGAATAAAACCATTTCCCTCCTAATTGACAGCTCCAGATAAAGGTGACCTTCCTGTCTGACCCACAGCAACATCGAATTCTGGAGCACAAACACAGAAAGAATAAGTGAAACGAGGACAAATCTTGGCAGAATCACAAAGAACAACTCTCCCTCTTTTCATCCTGAGGAATTGTATACATTAACACACGCTTCCCCTTCCACAGCTCTGAGAGACATTCCAGTAATTCAAGTTCACAAGAGACAATTTTCTGACAAGGTCACATGACAACCACTGTGTCACGTATCTGCATGTTCACACTGGCAAATACTCGAATTAGGCACAAGTTCTGACATGGAGAACACAGATTTATTTTATATATTGAATATCTAAAACACTATTCTGATGAGAAGTGCTGCTTTTGTAAGCAATTATGACAAATATTAAATGATTGGTCTTGCCAGAGGTACACTTCGAACAAAAATTATGTTGCACATTTGCTGCTCTTTTGGCTGTACCTCCTCACCATCAGCTTTCGACACCTTTCCCCACTTCACTTGCAAGTCTCTTTTTATAGTCACAAACAACTGATTTTACCCCTGATTTGGGCTATATTCATAACAGCCCATCACGAATCATCTCCAATTATTTTAGCTACTGCAGTGAAGTTTACTGGAAGCATAACAAATTATGGTTCTTCTCAGATTTATCCAAGTGTGTAACTGGAAAATGAAACCAATTAGCTGGCAGTGTTTGTATTCCCCAGAAACTCCAGGGCAATATTTGAGCTGCCAGAGTGGCTGGACATGAATGGGCAGAAAGCTGGGAATGCTGCAGTGCACTTCTCCATCAAAGATGGGAATTTTTTAACGAAATTAGTACAGCTTAAAGTGACCTGGGCCAAGTCCCTGCAAGTCAAGGTCAAGGTTGAGATGGATGCACTTGCAAATGTGCTCCTGGTGACCAAGAGGGGAAGATGGGCAGAAATTGAAACATTTTTATTTATTTTAGTCAACACAAGGTTATGCCTGTAAAAATGAGCAATGCCACAACCTGAATACAAGCTGGGGTAACCACTTTTCCTCAGAAACTTCCAGGGTTGGGAGGTGCTGTCCTGCATAGCTGTGCCCCAGGCATTGTGCTCACCCCAGCCACCTGCCCTGACAGGTGATGTCCTGAGGCTGCTCTGCTCCTTGTCTTAAACATCTCTGAAAGATTTTCTTGGAACTGCCCAAAACCTTCCCTTGCATCTCTGCACATCCCGAGGTACCACTCAAAACATTCCATTGCTTCTCGCCATTCAAATCTTTCAAATATTTGTGGTTTCATAATGTCATAATGTTGAGTTGTGTCTCTCCCTCCGTCCCAAGCCAAACCACCCTTTGTGCTGCTGTTTTCCTCTCGCCTCCCTGCCAAAGGCTCCGCAGGCCGGGCAGGAATCCCGGTGCTGCCGCTGGAGCTGGGCCGCCGGTGCCACCTGTGCCACGGTGAGCCGCGATTTCACTCGTTGTCCGGGGTCACCTGTGGTCACGTCTGTCACCGCCGTCGCTTCAGCACGGCCCCCCAGGGGTGTTCCCTCCCCGGGCAGCCGAGACGGCGGGCTCGTTCGCGGATTCACCCGAGCATCACCCACCGCCCTCGCGGCTGCGACACCGGGCACTGCAGGGACAGCGGAGAGGGGGAAGGACCGTGGGGGAAAAGCGCCGCGAGCGGGGGACACCGACCCGAGCGGGGGACACCGACCCGAACGGGGCCACCCGCCCGCGCCATCGCCCCCGCAGCCCGGCCGCGGGCGGGTCCCGCCGCCTCCCGCGCTCGCTGTCCCGGCCGTGCCCACGCCTGGCACCGGGGGGGCAGCCGGGGGGCAGCGGGGGCTGCCAGCGGCCCGCGGTGTGCCAGCCCGGGGGAGGGGGGTGTTGGGGATGCTCGGGGCGGGGTGCGGGCGCGGTGCGGGGCCGGGCCGGACTCACCTGCGCCGTCACCATGGAGCCGCTCGGCCGCTCCTCCCGCGGCCCCGGAAGCGGCGCGCCCGCTCCGCCCGCCCGTGACGCGCTTCCCTGGCAACGGGCGCGCCCGCCCCGCGCCGCCGCTCCCGGATGGAGCCGGGACAAAGGGGCCCCGCCGTGCGCATCCCGCGCGCCGCCAAACCCCAAAGTACCGCGTTTTGCCCCAGGCCGGCGGGATGCGCCGCCAAACCCCAAAGTACCCGGGTTTGCCCCAGCCCGGTGGGTCCCGCCGCTCTGCCGCACCCCAGCTGGGGTCTTTAAAATCCTCCAAAGCGTGGGAATATTTCCAAGAAGAAAATGACCACCATAAAGATATGCAAGAGTTAAACCACATCAATCAGAGTTGTCTGGACCACAGCAGTGCAGTGGAGGCTGCAGCTCTGGTACCTGAGATTTCTGCTATGGAGGAAGGAATGCTGGTGCACTACAAGTCAATACAAAGTCAAGTTTTTATTAGTACAAAAAATACCTTTTTTTTTTTAAAAAAAAAAGCACCCCACCCCAACATTTTAATACTTTTGTCTTCCCAACAGTGTGGGGAAAAGCTTGCCGTGCTTCACAGCAAGGCAAGGCAGCCCCCAAGGGCATCACCCAGGATCAGTAAACTGTATGACACAATGAGGTTTTCTTCAAAAGCCCAGCTCCCAAAGGCCCCAAAACCTGATAATTTTCCCTCAAATCCCATAATTTTTGAAGCCAGCCCTGAGGAAACAAGAGATGAGTTTTTGCCACCCTGAGGTCTGAGGGACCTTCTCATTTTGACCTCTTCTGCTCACTCCCCTGAGCCTTCAAATTCTTTCAAAGCTCAGAAACATTTCAAGGAGGAAAAGACCACCTTTAAAAGAGACATATGGAGTTAACCGCTCATAACAGCCTTGCCTGGACTGCAGCAGTGCACTGGAGGCAGCTGCTCTGGTACCACAGACTCACCCAAGTGGAATTTTTGAAAAATGAACTGTTCTGTACTCAGTCTTTGGACCAGAAAACAAAGTCACAGAAGTACCAAAAGGCATTGGTCGAGTCTCACCATGTTGGGATTATCAGTGTTACCAGCATCTAACCACACCAGGCCAATCAGAGGGGTTTGAGCTGTTGCTTCCCCATCAATGAATAATTTTCCAGAGTTACCTTCACTGGGAACTGCTCCAGACAAGTGTAATGCTCTCAGAGAGGTTATCTTATAAAGTACAAAAACAAAACAATACCATAGACGCAGGTATGACATACCCAACCCCACTACAGCTATTTTAAAAACCTTGGCTCCAAGTTTCTCTTCTACCACAGACCTCACTGACATCAACACCTACAAAGCTACAAGCCCTCTATCTCCAGTTCCAGACTGGCTGTGACAGATCTCCCCTCCCGTGTCCCTGCACACACCTTGCCCCAGGCTGATGCAGAGAGGCTGAACAGGCAACTGCCATGTCACACCATGTCCCACTGCACTCCTCCAGCACCACCAAAGAGATCCAGGGCCCCACAGCACTGCGGATGGAATCTCTTTGGACAGGAGAAGGGACACTGAGGCACTGTGGTGACACAGGTCTGGTAAGACAACTGTGGTCCTTGATAAACCCAGAGCTTTTTCAGTCCTGAGCTTCACCTGATATGCCCAACGAAAGTTTTACATTCAAAAAGAACCAACTATAGTCAGTTTTAGACATGAAGCTTCAAAACATCTCCAGGTGAGAGTTAAAAATTAACGGAGAAAGAAAAGAGGAGGAAATCTGAGCAGCTGCTTCATCACAATTGCTGGTGAATCCCAACTAGTGAGAATGGAGAGCTATAAAAGCTACATTTTAAAAAACTATATACAGTTTATAGTTTCCCATCAACTACATGATTTAAATTTCCATCAGAGCTCACACTGGAAACACAGGAGAGATCAGACAGAACAGTCTGGAAGAGACTGTGAGGAGCGCTGGAGGGCAGGAGCTCTCCCACAGCCCAGCAATGACTGCTCACAGGGAATGCTGCAGCACCAAGGACCCAGCTCAGAGCCCTGGAACCACAGAGCCTCTTCCTCCTTTGGTCAGAACTCATCCCGCAGCCTCGGTGGGTGATCCATGCCAAAAAATGAGGAGGGTTTCCCATGGATGTCGCGCTCTCTTTTCACAAAGGCAGTGAAGGAAGAGACACAGTTCCCGATGAAGTGGTCGGACTGGCCAAGGATGTACAGATCAATCTGAGGCACTTCTGGCTGCAAGCTGACAACCTTGAGCTGCAGAGAAATGAGGAGAGCAGATGAATCCAGTCAGCTATTATCACAATCCAATGTCTTGGCATAGTATTAGAAATGGAATATACAAGAGAAAGAGATTGAGTTTTGTCTTTCTCTGCTATATAACTCATTTATGATCAGATCAATGTCAGAACATTTCTGAAAATCACTTAGGTTTATTTAATTTAAACCCTTTTCATGGAAATATTTACTACCATGCCAGACAATGCTCTTCAATCTCCTGGGAAAAAAAAAAGTTTTACAGGATAATTTTTATTGCTATGAGCCAAATTCATTTTGAGATGATAATATTTGGCAGCGAATAACCTATTCCACAACTGCCTGTCTACTGTCCACGATAGGATTGGGCCAGAGTCCAAGGGAGGTTTTTATCCAAGCACTCCTGCCAGAAGAGGTTTCTGGAAGACACACCTTTTCCTGGAAGAACTGCCGTATTTCCGTTGTGTAGGGCTCGGAATCCGTAGCAATATAAACAGATTTAGCTTCAATCTTTGCCACCCAGAGCTTGAGAGCCCGTTTGATCTCTCTGAGGTCTGGCAGGCACATGTCCATGGTGAGAGGCACCGCAGCACTCCGGTCATAGCCCACACACTGTGGTGAAGCCATGAAGTGGGGCCCGGCTGTCCCATCCTTTAACATGTTGCAGGCATTTTTCTATTGGAAGAGGAAAAGAGAATCACAGAATCATCAAAGCTGAAGACCTCTGCAATTATCAAGTCCAAACTTTAAACAGATATCCTGTGCCCACTAAACCTTATGAGAAAGTGTCACATCTACTTGTGTTCTGGACACTTCCAGGAATGGCAATTCCACCACAGCCCTGGGCAGGCTGGGCCAGTGCTCAGCCTTTCAGTGAAGAATTTTTCCATAATATCCAACCTGAAGCTCCCCTGGCGCAAAGCTGAGGCCATTTCCCTTTATCCTGTTGCTGGGAGGAGAGACCTCGCCACAACTTTTTTTCGTTTTCAAAGTACCACATTTGAGTGAGAAAACACAACCACACCCCCAAGCTCTGCCTGTCTGAAAGAATCCCAGAGGCACTGTTAACACACAGGGAGCTCCTGGATGTCAGCAGGGATCAGGTGGGTCTCCCAGCACAGCTCCTTTTTGTGCAGCTTTGCCCACATCCCACTTGTCACCGGCCTCCAGCCGCTGCCGTACCCAGTCCGAGCCGATCCTCAGGTGAATGCCGACGTAGGGCCGGACCAGCAGAGACTGGATATAGGCTTCTCCCTTCTTCACCATCGTATCCGACCACTCCATGTACTTCTGCAGGGGCCGGTGCTCCTCCAGGACAGGAAACTGGGCTGGAGCTCCAGGTAAGGCGAGAACAGGGTGCTCAGAGGGTGGAAACCTATGGAAAACCAAACCCCAGCAGTCTAAAACGTGACCTAACCTGCACGAAGACTGCTGTGAAGGTTAGAGACCAGGAACACCCCAAAATATGCAGCATTTATTGCTCCAAATTTAGATAGTTTTAGCTGTTTTGCCATCTGAACTGAAGAAATCTCAGGGACTGTATTTTACCTCAGACCTTTTATCTGACAGCCAGTAAGAGAAGAATCTCAAACATGCAGTGGGGAGCTACCAAGCAATGGGATGTTACATTGTCACCCCAGACTAGAGCAATTCTGTCACCCAAACTTACTGATAACCACTCAAGTCATTCATAGCTCTGAAAACAAGAGGTAAGCAACAAAATACAGTTCATAATCACCAAATGAGAACCAAATTATTTCTGATTAATTACATATTTAATAAATAAATACTTAATAAATCAAATATTCCTGGCTCAGAAGTCAATCAGTCTAACAGAGTTCATACCTAAAATAACGCCCACAGGAAGTGCTCAGCAAATATTTAACGGAAAAAGCATTAATATTTTTAACTATATTACTAACTAACCACTTCAATCTCTCCCCCAAAATGTGAAGTCACAATACACAGTCACAGCTGCTTTCCTGAGTGACTCTAAATGCTCAGTGACCTGCCAGCACTTTTCCATCTTCGTGCTACCTTTGGATCCAATGGTCCTTGTATGCAGGACTGAAGGAAATTCCCTTGAAGAGCTCAGACTTATCAAAATCCACTTGGAACTGATCCCAGAAGGGACCAAATGGATTTCCATCCTGCAAAGAAAAGACAAGCATCCATTCAGTGCACACACAAAGCCTGAAAGATGGATCTAGCAAGATCCTGAGGTGCAAAGCAGGAGCCTGTTCCAGGATGGAAGCAGCTGGAATACAACAGCCTGTTTGACACACCAGCTCCACAGGAAGGAGACAGCAAAATACATGAAGGGAAGTTCACCGAGAAAGTTGCAAAGGTTGTCTTAAAGAACAAGGGCACCACAGCTTCCAAACTTGTAGTTAAGAGAGGTTGCTTTAACACCAGTTGGAAAACTACCACAGCTAGGAAACAGAGAGCAGGAGATAAGCTACAGTCACAATTAAATCTGAGGTGACAAAATCTACTTGCACAGACTGTATCCCCATCCCCAAGCACTTGTAGACAATGAAAACTAATGAAGGCACAGCATGCCACTCCACAAGTGGTGAAAGCAACGCCACACAGACCGATTTTTGGTGAGTAACTCTAAATTTGCAAATCAACGGCGACCTGAATGAGTCAGTCACAGCCTTTGGAATTAAGCCGTGCCCGCGGGGCTGAGGAGTGAACTCACCTTCATGGGACACGTGCTTTTGTCCGCGCTTCTCTGGGCAGCAGCCTCGAAGCAATAAGCCACTCTCCTGCCGGGCGGCCAGTGCCGGGGCGCCAGATGCTCCATGAATTGCTCCAGGCTGATCACGCGGTGGTACCGCCGCAGCGGCTCCAGCCTGAAGTGCTCCGAGTAGGGGACGTGCAGCTGTGGGGGGACAGAACCCGTCAACCGGGGGTCCCCTTACCCGGGGCCCGCAGCTCATCCCCGGAGAGCTCCCAGCCCTGCCCGCCGCGCCCCCGCTCCCTCCCCGCGCCCGCCGGGGCTCACGTTGGTGTAGGGCGGGCGGTGGTGCCGGTACTCGATCCAGGGCGGCACGGCCAGGGTCCGGTTGAGGGCGCGGGCGAAGGCCAGGGCTCCCAGGAAATGCTCGGCTTGGTTACCGAAGCGGCCTGCGAGAGACGGGGCTCAGGCGGGGACCGCGCCGGGGACGGACCGGGCACGGACCGGGGCATGCAGCGGGAGCCGCACCGGAGGCGGCGCCGGGGCACGGACCGGGGAATACAGCGGGGGACGGACCGCGGACCGCCGGGGATGGAACGGGGTCTGCACCAGGAACCGCACCGGGGGATGCAACCGGGAGATGCACAGGGGGCCCGCACCGGGAGAGCCTCACCCATGCAGGGACAGTAGAGCAGGTACCCGGCCTCGTCCCAGGCGGGTGCCGCGCCGCCTCCCGCCGCCATCACCGGGAGGAGCAGGAGGAGGACGAGGAGCACCGGGACCGGCGGCACGGCCATGGCGGCTCGCCGGCGGCC